CCGGCACAAATTGGTTTAGTGTCGGACGTTTTCGTGTCTGTCTGTAAAGTGAACTGACAGAAGAAAAAAAAAATTGTGTCAGTTAAAACCGACACTAAACATGTGTTTTCTTGTAGTGTCCCAACCCTTCTACTCAAACATTCCTCGTTGAACATGAAGAGTTGTTCAAGAGGTTGGAAGAGAAGGAAAGAGATCTTGAACAAATTTGTTCGAGACTCAATTAAGGTCGCCTATTTGACATCATCAATGAAGCAAAAGAGGAAGGAGTCTCGAAGGTGGACAAGCAAGTGGATATCGACGATCATTTATTGAAGAACTTGCTTAGAAGACAATCATTGTCCCTGATCAACAAGTAGTAATAGATAGGGAAGGGAGTATTGATAAGGTTGTGAGTGAGGAAGGAGAAAGTGAAGAAGAAGAGCTTGGTACTCAAAATGGGGAAGATTCTTCACAAGAAGGCGATGAGGTTGAAGACGCAATGGAGTCCGATCAATGGATGAGGTTGGGATGGATGAAGCTTCAACATGTTACCCATGCTAACAAATCTTTCCACCCAACCTTGATGCACTTTTAGAGAAGGATCCTTTTGATGTTTCTCTATGACAAACCAAGGCCACACCATCACCAATCCCTCTTGGTAGATTAAATGGTGGTCAATCGAGGTTGCATTACATGGTATGGGGCAAAGAGAAGAAAGAAGAAGAGGTCTCGTGGGAGGAGATTAAAATTTCACCAAGTCCACAGGTCATTCACATCATTTGAAGCATCAAACGCTCAGGACTTGAGACTTCACCTCACCGACGAGAACCTCAACTTCAAAGAAGTTTTAAGTGATGCATTATAGCATCGGTCGACCCATATGGCAAATTTAGAGTTACTATTTGGGTCTTCTTTGTTAATTATTTGTTGGGTTATTATGTTATTTTGGATATTTGTATTAGTTTATTGTGTCTTGTGAGGAAGTTATTATTTACTTGTTGGGATAGGATTAGTTTATCTTGTTTGAGAGAGAAAAGGTTTGTGGATTGTGAGAGTATTCCTATAAATATGTGTGTTGTTCTTTAGTTTTCGGCAATGAATAAGAGTTAAGTAAAGTAGTAGTAATTTAGTTATCTTTATCATGTTTCCTTAGTATTTCGTAGAATATTTTGAGATCTATGACGCGTGAATTCCGCTCACGTATCATTAAGTTGGACCAAGTACTTGAAGACAATCGTCCGGCGATAAGACTTAAAAGACGCACTTGTTGGGAGGTACCCCAACAACTAGTTTGCATTTCCTTACACTTTTCAATAATAAACTTGCATATTTTATTTTTTAAGTAGTTTTTATACTCTTAGCTAGTGAATGAATTCCTTCTATATCAAGAATATTATGAATGATTGTTTGGAGACTAGCTAGTTGCTTAATGAGTGGTTGTAAATGTTGTTAAGCATGTGTGCTAGCCTAGCAACTAAGTCATTTAGAGTCAAGGAATGACATGGCTAGTGCAACAGGATCATAGATTGTATGCTTATGAATATGTATGTGTGTTTAGAGGCCTTGGTGGGCTCGATTTTTTAGAATTTTTGGATTTTCAATGTCGCTCACCAAGTGTTCGATGAAATGTCCAAACCATATAAAACTTTTTTTCTTGATCCAATGATCTTCAGTTGAACTTTTTTTTATTAAGATAGACCCTTAGGAGTGTGTTTATGACTTAGGATTAAATCCTTCATGCATGACCCTTGAGTTTGCAACTTTGGCTTACCTTTGATTTTGTGCTTCGATATGATTTTATATCCATTAGTTCAAACTTTGGTTGTTGTCTAATGAGTTGATTCTAGCCTTCGGCCGAGGTATAGAAACCTCTAGAAAGACATGATACCCTTGTTTTCATGCATTTAGACCTCGACCCTAGGCATTACAACATGTGTTTCTACCTATACACATCTAGTTCTACATTGTAACACTTGAGTGTGGGGGTGTAGAGAGTGATTCTAAGGATGAATTTTGTTCTTTAATGGATCAAGTGAGTCGCTAATGGTTTGTTTGAATATTTTTTGTGACTTTTCTATCGTATGGCAATCGAAACGAGGGTAAGAAGTTTAGTCCTTTTAGCCCTCAACAATGAAGCAACCGAAACTAGGGGTGCACTACGGTTTTAACCATTTTAATCATCCGACCCATGCACTACGGTTTGGGAATTATCAAACCCAAACCCACCCAAAAAAATTAAACTCTACGGTTTGTTTCTAATTGGGTTGGGTCGGGTTGGCGATATTTTTAAGTAAAAACCCAACCCAACATAAAATATATAATTATTATACATCATCAAAATATTTTATAACTAATTAAAATTCCAAACGAATAAACCGAGGTGAAAGGTATCAAAATTCACAAATGTTATTTGAATTTTAATAAAATGGATTTACTTCAACATATGTCTAGTTTTTTCACGATGTTTGTTGAAATAGGCTAAAAAGGTTATAAACTAATGCATCCATAATATATTATTCTATTAAAATTGTACACAAGAAATAGGATTACGTGAATCATAAATATATTCAATTTATGTCAAAATTTTAAATCGAAGAATGCATTAGATTAGGGAGACCATGATAGAAAAACATTGCGAAATATCTTAATTTTCTCATAATATAGGAACTCATACTAATAGTTGGAACACGGGTTGGGTCGGTTCTACGGGTTGTGTAATCCAAAATCCAAACCCAACCCAAAAGAGGCAGGTTGTACAAAAGAAAACCCTCACCCAACCCAAAACCTTCGTTTTAGCGATAAATACGGGTGGGTTGGGGCCAGTGGCGGACCCAGGATTGTCGGAGAGGTGTGTCGCCGATAAAATAAAATAACAATTAAATTAAATTAAAAATTAAGTAGAAATTAAAAAAATTAATTCATAAAGTTCACAATGTCATGTTTACAACGAATCACAATGACTTTTCATCTGCTGAAATGTCTCTAAAATACATTAATCACTTATACTGCAAAGAAAATCTTTTTCAATCATTCATAAATTGGTCACTCAACCGATTTTGAAGATAATTCTTGATTATCT